AATGGGGTCATTGGGCCACGCTGACGAACGCCACTTGCTGTGCGGAAGATATCTGTAAAGTCACCGCAGACCCTGACGCGGTCTGTTGTGTTCGAGTAAAGGGCACGGGAAATGTTCACCTACATCATGACCCAATTCTGTTCTGTTCGTGGCACTTTCCAACTGCCCTCATAACAACTACCTGCCAGTTGTCTACATTTTTCTTAGATATTTCGTGACTTATAATATTTTGGACATCCTTCATAAGTGTGAAGTTTCACTTTCATATCAGTTATGGTTTTTGAGCAAAAATGTAGTTGTGTTCGTACTACTGAGAAAGCCCGTTAGCGGTCGAATGACCACTTTCCTCCATTTCGGTTTCTTATTTTTATTTTCCGCCGCCACTATTATTTCTGACAATGTTATATGCAATATCATTCAAAACGGAAGTGAAAACTAGACTATTCACGATTTCCAGGTGATATTGTGTGTTGCGTCGGACAACTTTCAGTGCCACTGATACACAGTGGCTCGTCGGAATAAAACAGCTTTTGAGGTTGTGCGAGAACTTACAGCCATCGATTATAAGAAAGGCATCAGCAGTACGCCGGTATGCAGTACCGACGCTTCGCTGCCGCACAACCAGCACCAGTCGCACGTAGGCTAAGGATACTGCGAGGGTCGCCCTGCAACCACGCGCAGGCTCAAACGCGCGCCGTCAGATTACAAGACATGCCCATCACCTTTAGGCTACGAGCCGCCTATCGATTTTAACCAGTCTGGAGACGAGAATGAACATGATGTTGATGGAGACCTCATCTACCAGGCGTCGGCAGAAGAACACAGCATCCCTGATAGTCAAAGTTCTGACAGTGACACTCCTCATGAAGACAGTAATGAGAGTGTATCAGCCGATTCTGCATCTTCTAGTGAAGTTAACATATCGAAAGTTGGTACATCGTGGACTGCAATAGAGTTCCAGGCCACTACTGGTCGTAGGATGCTATCACAAACTCTTTTCAAGACAAGACCAGGACCAACTGTCTACGCTAAGAAATGTGCGGAATATAATGAGCACTCGAGCGCTTTTGACATCATACTCACGTCCAGATGGTGAAACGGATTCAGTTATGTACTGAAGCTGAGGCCGAGAGAGTTTTAGGTGTCAATTGTCAGTGGATAGACGGTGGATAGACATGCACTTTGGGACTGTCTACTCAGGAAAGATGTACCTGAGAAATATGTGAATATTATCCGAGCATTATATGCGCGTAGCTAGGGCAGAGTGAGGGCTTACGGCAAGTTGTCGTCGCCCTTTAATATCTCCAAAGGCATGAGACAAGGATGCCCGCTGTCACCTTTCCTCTTCAACTTCGCTGTTGACGAAGTCATGGAAATCGCGTTCACAGGACACGACTTTGAAGGTGTGGATCTGCTCCCAGGAGAACGACTTCTTGACTTAGAGTATGCTGATGATATTGCCCTAATCTGTGACAGCTCACAAACGTGTCAAGCAGCACTGGACAGATTAGCACTGACTGTCCGTCACTTCGGGCTTTGCTTCGCACCCTCGAAGTGCAAAGCGTTCCTCCAAGATTGGTCTGGACCACCTCCTACGCTGACCGTTGGTGGGGATCAGCTAAAAGTCGTTCAAAAATTCAACTACCTGGGAAGTTGTATCAGCGCCCGTGGGATTGAGGATGAGATCACGAGCCGTATAGCAAAAGCTCGGGGCGCTTTTGCTAACCTTCGCCACTTATGGCGCCGGCGCGACATCGCTCTTGCCCTGAAGGGTAGAGTGTACAATGCAGCGGTACGTTCGACCCTACTGTACGGTTGTGAAACCTGGCCGCTTAAAGCAGCGGACCTGAAGAGGCTAGTTACGTTCGACCACCGTTGCCTTCGTAATTTAGCTCACATCTGGTGGGAACACCGCGTGAGCAACGAGCGTGTTCGACGCCTTGTTTATGGCACAGGAAAAGGAAATGAACCGCTCAGCACCGTTATTTCACGCACCAGGCTCCGATGGCTCGGCCACGTGTTACGCATGCCAGCCCACCGACTCCCGCGACGTGTGTTGTTTGCGCGCCGGGGGTGTGGATGGAAGAAGAGGTGGGGTGGCCAAGCGATGACTTGGCCGAGAGGAATGAAGGCCCTCACTTCTGAGCTGGCCTCGGTTGGCGCGTCTCGGCTCCCTGGTTGGGGTCCGAAAGACGATGAACACGTTTGGTTGGACACACTTGCTGATATGGCTAGGAGCCGACCTCAGTGGCGTTCGTGCAGTGAGTTTCTTTGTCCCACCCCATCCCTTTTAGCCTCCCTCTCCAACCACCATCTCATTATTTAGCCTTATATAATTTTGCATAGTATTTTTTTGATGCACAGTAGCCGACTGGTAGCTTGCCGGAACGATGCCCATCCGTTACCGGTAGCTCACCCGGCTTACACCAGTTGTTTTTTCTCCCTTTTTCTATGTATTGCGGCACAGTAGCTGAGGTGTTCCCCGCCTCTAGCTAACGTGTATGATGATGATGTCAATTGTCAGTGGAACAAAAGTATTTTTTGAGCTGCGTGCATTTATTGGGCTACTTGACGTCAGAGGCTTTATGGGCTCAATGAACGTGCCATTGAATATGCTGTGGTGCGATAAATTCGGATTGCCCGTTTCCAGGGAGACAGTTGCCAAAGACCAGGTTCAATGAACTAATAAGGTTCCTTAGTTTTGAGATGCAAACTACCCGACTGACAAGTTTGCTTTGATATTTGTATTCTGGAATGCATTTATTCGCAACTCTGCACAGTGCTATTTGCCTGCGCAAAATCTCACCGTCGACAAGCAACTATTTTCCACCATAACCGACTATCGTTCTCTTCAGTACCTGGCCAACAAACCTAGTAAGTACGACATCAAGCTTTGCATTTTGGCAAGAGTAGAAGTCAGATATCACTTGGAGGGATTTCCATCTCTCGGCAAAGACGAATCTCGGCAACTAAGAGCAAATGTTCCAAAGAGCATGGTATTCAGCTTTTTATCACCATTGTTGGGAAGGGATTACAATGTCACATATGTGACAACTTCTTCACATCTGCATTATTGGGAAAAATGCTCTTTAAGGAAAATACAAATATGGTGGGAACTAGTCGAGCTAATACAAAGGCAGTGTTAACGATTTTGAGCAAAGCATTAGAGAGCTGTTCAGTTCACTTATTACGAAGAATAATAATAAGCACATGTCAACACCCTACCATTGCAAAAGTGATACAAATGTTTCGGTTTTCAGTTCCTTGCACAGTAACTGTTCCATTCAAGACTCTGGAAAGAAGTATAGGGTAGGTGTACTCCGTCAAATAGCAGAAGCGCTCACCGTCAAATCACCGTCTTGACGGTGGCCAGTCCAACGTGCTGGACTTGGCTAGCATTCATTCCTGCATACTTTATGACTGTGTCTCCAGAGATAAATTATCCTGCCGGTCGTATCTGATGGATCTTGCGGAAGAACTGCGTGGGTCCAAACATCATGCAAGGTACGTGACACCTGGGCTTTCGCCGAACGACTCAGCGCATTTGGAAACTCGTGAGACAAATAAACGTCGGCAGTGTCATATTGCTTACTGTACCGGCAACAAGTCAAAGAGCAAATGCTTTATATGTAAAAAAGACTAGTTTATGGCTCATGTGGACAGACTGGGAGAGTTATCACCTGTTTCAAATGTAAATCTAAATAAGCAAGTATAACTATTTTCAACCTTTAGAAAAATCAAAGTTCAGTACAATTATTTTTCTGTTATAAATAAGCCCTACATATTGTTTTAAAAAGTATATCGAAAAATTCATAAATAATAGAATAAAGAAATGAAGTAATGCGGTCATTTTGACCGGTCCCAGGCGTAGCGGCCTTTCTGGTGTTAGTCTAAATGCCGGACAGGGGAGAGCTAAAGAGGAGGGAGCGATAAAAAGGAATCACAACTCCAACATCACTGAGTTCGGCTCTTCGCCATATCGGCTAGTGTATCCAACCAAATGTGTTCACCATCTTTCGCTCCCCAGCCGGGCAGCCGGGAAACACCGACCGACACTAACTTCGAAGTGAGGGACATCAATCCTCTTGGCCAACTCATCGTTTGGCATTTCCTCCTCTTCTTCTACCCACACCCCGGCGCACAAACACCGCACATCGCTGGAGTCAGTGTACTGGCATGCGAAACATGTGGCTCAGCCAGAGGAGCCTGGTGCTTGATATAACGGTACTGAACCTTTCATTCGCTCATTCAGTGAACCTGCATCCCTCTGAATAATTATTTTCTCACGTCACAAACACCATGTCAGCGTACTGTACTGGAATGCTAAAATCTGGTCCCGTGGCCAATGCTGTGCTCATTGTCACGAACCTCGTTTTGTCGCTTCTTATAACGCCATCTATGTGTGTATGGGATAGATGCATGAACAGACGGACCAAACTTACACAGTGAACTCTTTCTCCGTAACACTGCGCCGATGCAAAGTCCTGAAATACCGTTATGGCTATTAATGGTGATGACGCCTGTTGTCACAACTTTCACCAAGTAGCTGCGGGTTCTTCGCAGGAAATTAAGCAGAAGATGTCGACGGATGCAATATTACATGATCTCCTATCTTTTTTCTTGTGGCCCTCAGCCGAGTTGCGTGACTGATTGAAGTTAGTCAAGCTTCCGACCCTTATGCATGGTGTACATATCTCCTTTGCCAGTTTATCAAAGCAACAGACCTACGATTGCATGTTTACTTTACGTCGTACGTCACTTTCAGTGGCCTGACCAGTGTCAACATTTATACATTATGTCAACCTGCGTTGCAGCTTGTTCTAGTAAGGTGAAGTCACTACTTTTCTTTCCAGTATGAGACTAGTCATTGGATTCGTTCTTTAACTAATAATGCGTTCTGTCCTCTAGATGCGTGCGAGTATGTACTCCACATATGTACATAACCAGAGCTGCTTTTGAGCACTTTGACCGCCCAACTTTTCCACGTTTTTGCTTCTCAGGACAACGCTCGGCCGAGTCCACAGATGGGAGAACCCTTGTGTCTCGGTATTTGGACACCGAAGTCCGAACCTACAGAAGTGCAATCGTTAGCGGTGTCTCCAAAGGGGAAAACAACTGACACACTCCAGAATCCTTGCGCGAAAGACTTAGTGGATTCCAAGACACAGTGTACTTCCGAGCAGTCATCGAATACTGAGCAGGATGGGTCTGTGAAGCAACCGGAAGCGCATTGCAGATCGGCGATTGATGCAGTGGTGGCGCCCTCTGTTCCCAAACAAGGTATTCCTTTACCACACACACATGCGCATACGTGCCGATGCATGCAGATAAGCACTTGACCAGTTATTGCCCAATTTACCGTGTGTGACTGCATGCGGATGAAAGCGATAAAACGAAAGGAGTAAGTTGCAGTTGGTGGTGTATAGTCTAACATCCTTTCTTCCCTTGAGGGCGACTTTATCCATGTCCGAATGCGTTCCTCATCCGACATGCATAGATACGAAGTATCAGTTCCGAATCGGGCATCCAATCCATTGTCGGTGTCAGAAGCCGAGTAGAATTGAACATATCGCACAGTATTTGTGATGGCTGCAATAGAAGGTGATGCGCTGGAGCGTGCATTGGCTGATTTCAGGTATTCAATACTTAAAAATGATCGCCCGATGTCTGAACCGCTTGAACGAAATCAATTCGGGATTGTCCGTGATCTCTCTGATGTTGCCTTTAATTAGTCGACGCCTGCAGAGGATTATACAGTAGCCAAATAAGCTGACCGAATCAACACCGAGGGAACATTTCTCAGCGTTGTTTGTATCTCCGGGTTGTGACAATAGGTTAACAGGTGCTCCAGTGCAGTGCTGACAACCACGATTACATCCAGGTTTTCCTAAGTGAAGTACGAGGCACGATGTTAGTCATTAAAGCGTTGGACATGTGTTCAATATTCCTCAAACGAAGTCGCATTTGAGAGCATTCACAGTGGGCTGGTTAAGGCAGTTTAGCGATATTTAGCTCCTTGCTGACCATGTCAATTTTGCCGAAAGGTGTTTCCTGTCAAGGCTGCGACATGATCCACGTTATATAGGAGCGTACAACGATCAAGCGAAGTGAATGTGGCCAGGGAACGACAGTCGTCGCACGGGATCATATAGAGAAGCGACATCCACAGACTTTTGCACGGCCAGACGGACCCGAGCTGCGCTACAAGTTCGAATTCCGCTGTTGTGGTGCCCAGCTTGTCTGGAGCAACGCATTTTGGCGGCGTGTCCATTGGTTGGACACGCATGACTATCTGGTGACTTCTCTATATCACGACTGACCGAATCTGAGAAGCGGATTATATTGGTCACGCGAACTCGAAGAGTTGGCTCACATCCTTTGTATGCGCCTCAGCTGCACAAAGAACGCGGCTGATTATCGTGGTATCTGAGACAGAAGAGAAACATAGCGAAAGAAAGGAATTTCTTGAATATATTTGCGACCGTACGCTAGTCCGGTTAAACAACTGATCCGGACACCGATGTGCGATGAATCCAGTTACCACGACTCACATCCCTATATTAATGCTTTACAGTGATAAGAAAAAGAGGTTGATCGCAACTAAAATACAGCGAAAATAAAATCCTGAAAGTGTTGCATTAAGCTAATCAGGATGGACTGAAAATTAACAGATAGATGTAAGAGACCGAATGTCGGAACGCCACTAAACGATCGATTGCGCCATGTGTGATAGAATATTCAACTACTGGTGTGGATCATCCCGGAACCCCTATCTAACAACATTACATGCACTAGTCTGATCAGTTATCTCCGTGAATTTTTTCATACCTCTACCACATCATGGACTGGCTCTTTAGCGGTTTCACCCAACTTGGTGCAGCGACGGCATATGATGCACGCGGAGGAAGACGCACAACGTACCTGTTGAGGGCATAGCGTAACCCACGTAAGCGATTGAGCTTTAGCAGACACACTGGCGTAGGATACCAGAGAGCTGCCAATAATCACCTGGCGGACCCGAGCATATTGCTCACCCGGTCTTCCCACCATACATGTGTAATACTCTGCAAGCGCTGGTGACATAACAAGGTCAACCGTTCTTTGTCTTCACTTCGAACTAGCCACCTCGCTGATCCATACAGTAACACCGGCCTTATCACGACCATATATATTCCGCTGTCTCCACAGATGCTTGAGCCTTTGAAAAGCCACACGGGCCTTGCTGATACGCTAAGTAACTTTCCCAGTGATGTGACCACCAGATGTGACACAGCTACCACGGTTAGTCAAACGATCTAACACTTCCAGTGGCTTTTCGCTGATAGCTCATCGGTGCAACCCTGCTACAATACTTGGCACTTTGAAGGTGCAAAACATATGTCGAAGCGTGCGGCGCTACGCACTAGTCTATCCAGTAGTGTTTGTCTAGCCAGTGCGTCAGATCCAAGAAGAGCTATGTCGTCCGCATACTCCGGGTTAGTCAGTCGGTCACCTGGTAGAACTTCCACTACGGTAAAGTTAGCAAGAACAGAGTCATTAACGATCATTTCGATCGCCAATTTGTAGAGGAGAGGAGATTGAGATTAAACTTGTGAATCCCACTTGTCGAGAGGAATTTTGGAGATAGCTCCCCTCAGACCCTTACCCGTCTTCGCGACTTATGCTAGCAAGACTTCAGAGTGGAAAGAAGTTTTCTTGGCACGTACTTTACGGATAGGCAGTACTACAAGCTGGCGCGGTCAACGGAATCGAAGGCGGCGTTCAGGACAAGAAAAAGTACCCTAGTCATTCCTCTATGTGTTTTTTCTAACACTTGACGAAGGGTAAATGCTTGGTCGATGTTAGCATGAGATAACTTTCATTGATTCACGAGGATCAGTGAATTGTCGGAGTATGGTGCCCGTGAGAAGTTTGGAGACATTGGAAGTACGTCTAATACATCGGTGACTTTCACACCAATCCCGTCTGAAGATGGGCACGACAGTTTACAATCGCCAGTCTGAAGACACTTCTTCAGTGTATCAAATCATGTTGAATTAGGCAGCAAACTCAATCCGCAAATAGTCACTTCTATCTTTCAGCACCGATAAAAAGAAGGCCGTCGTACCCAGAAGCCTTGTTTTGTTAAAGCACGGTAATATTATATCGAGAAGTGTGTTATCAACTTCCCATTTAGACTCATGTGATTCAGCAAACAGCAAACAGCTGTTCAGAATTGTTATATTTGAGGGAACGCCGCCTCTTGAGGTAATTGCGTGACAAGATTGTCGCTCGCACGGTTGGAGCACGCCTACGATGACGCTAGCTTAGCCGGTGAGACGCGTCTCGGAGTGGCTGAGCTCTGCTGCGTTGTGGGGAGGAATTGGACCTCGCTTTCCACAGCCATTCTGCTGGGGTTTCTGGCGCGTTTTTGCGGGAATATTTGACGTGCCCGCAACAAGAATGTTCCACACAACAGACTAATTGACGAAGCTGAGAGTGCATCAACTGTCCATCTTTCTCAGCTGTTGTCTCGCTAGCTGATGGCTTTCTCGGACCCTTGTCCCGGATGATGGAATAACACTCAGCTGTTTCCAGTTGCACTGGGTTTCTCACGGGCCTTTGCAGCCCACCAATGTTCTCGATCGACTCGAAGACTCCTTGTCACATGTCGTTTCAAGGAGTTACGGACACCCATCGGAACCTGTTTCTGTCCTTCGATCAAACTGATTGATGCTTCAGAGATCCATTTACACGTTGGATGTCTTAACTTGAACGCAGAACAGGTGTCAAGTGCATTCTTTAGGTCACATTTGAGACGATCCTGTTCAGCGTTCTGTTCACAAACCTCATTCGCCATTAACAATTAGTGAGCCATTTCGTCATGACATTGTTGAACTGCGGACTGCTATTTCACGTTACAAGCAAGCATCTTAGAAGTAGCATGCCAAATGGCAGTACTGTATCCGCAGTGTTGAGGTACATGCTATGCTGGCTCGGGCACTTTCTACGTGTGCTTGCTCATACCACTGCTGGGCATTAGACTAAGGAAAAAATTAAACACTATTCAACCGTGTACTAGTCACCTCAACATTACAAAGCCCATCTCCTCTGCTCGGTTCGGGTGTATTGCTAGTCCGTTCCGAAGTTATCTGTGAATTATCCCTATTTATCATCATACGATAAGCTGCCACGTAGATAGTTTCTCATTACTGATTCGCGTTTTGTGTCTCCAGACGGTCACATGTTTGTTTATGATATTATCATTGATGTTGCACATGGGCGGATCATTCATTGAACCCTAGGCAAATGTGCAGGCTCTGTTCCCTGGTTGTAACCATTCGAACACTTTCCGTTTTAGGTCAGCGCGTGTACACGTGTGGCTTCTGTGATAATGTATTTTCACGAGCAACTACACTTCGAAGGCACTTCTATTCTGTCCACATGAGTGAGTGTCCATTTACAAATCGTTTTTGACCCTTATATTTTTCGTGGGGCTATTATTGCCAAAAGTTCACCATCTCGTCTGGGTGGATTAGCTTTCTCACGTGCAACGTCTCACCTTCTTCGTACTGTCGCAATTTACTTATCAGTTCTCGCGCACAGTGGGTGTAACACAGCTGTACTAACCTTACCATTCATCGCACACTGAGGCGATCACTGACCGACCAATAGCACGCGGTATCCATAAAAAAAGTAGACCTTAGCAATACGTTGGCACACTGTGCCGACGTTTCGCTGCCACGCGATCACCACCGGTCGCGCGTGGGCTGAGTATACCGTCACGACGCCAGCCGCTATCCGAATTCGAACCGGTGACCTTATGATTGCAAGCCATACGTGCAGACCACTAGGCCACCGGACCGCATACATCGTCTAATTCGCATCATGCGCAACGGAGCAGCAACTCAAATCACTACTGGGCTGCTGTACAGCTTGTTTCTTTTCTCAGGACTGTTTGTCATTTTCGTGAGATAACTGAACATATTGTGAGCCAGATGGCCTCTTTTGGGTTCTGACGCAACGGTCGCGGTCCACTTGGTTTTCTCCATTTGAGCTCAAGCTCCCAACTTCATCAGTACTTAACTACTAATGAGTAGGATGATTTTTCTTAACACCTACAGGTTCACTTAGTCTCTCCCAATCCAGATGTCTTCTTACTTGAGCACCAATATTCTGCAGTGGTAAAGCAGTTTTCCTCAAAATGTCTGGTCTGTTAACATGAAATTCCGTGATTTCACCACAAAATAAAGCTCAACACGTTTCTACGCGCTATCGTCTGAAAGTTATGACACTTATCAGACACAACCATTTTGAAGTCCCTAAAGCACCGTTCAGCGTGTACCGAATTCACAGGAATGCATAGAGATAATGGCTGGCGATATCTGCCACTTGTGGAGTTGTTTCATGCATCCCGCACCAGAAGGCCAGTGCGTCTTCACATTTCTCTCCACGCAGTTCTTCCATCACTTTTCGATAGGTTAGCCATTCGGATGCCGGAGCTGGGAAACCAACTAGACTTAGAACTTCGGAATAGCTGGATAAGATGATCAATCATTCACTCGAATGACTTTCAGAACCTGCCAGCTAGCTTCTGATATCAGCAACTCTTAGACTTTCTGGCATCTTGGGAGAAGCAGAGTTGTACGTCATTTTTGGTTTCGCTAGACGTATCTAAGACCAGTCCCTAAGTCTGCAAATGCTGCAGCCAGTTTTTCTCAACGGAGGTTTTCAGCGACACGGATAGATCGGAGAGGTCGTTTTAAATCTGGTGGGTTACCGTCGACTATGATTCAACAGTTTTTAAGTGACAGATTACGTTCTTTACAACGGTAGCAATGCAACTCAGTCGCCACTTCCAGGTTTTCTGTGTTGTTTTGTTGTTTACTAGTTTCGCAAGTTCACATACATCAGCCTAATCTCAAAACTCATGCTGTACAACTGGTAACATGCATGGCTAATGATGAAATACTTGCTGTGATGTCAGACAGCTTAGACCTGGGAGTTCCAGCGGGTGATGATCGGTGCAGGGGGGCTGTCGGGTTATCCACCCCTTGCTGAGTTAGATACTCAATGTGGACACACCACTTCCTTCCCGAACGGTAAAAAGCACGTTTCATTTTTGTAATAAATCCGTCGACTTCCGGACAGAATGTGTGAAAGATCTCTCCGATCAAATTAATGCAGTGAGTACTCCAAGACCCAATAACACAAAAGTCATGAATACGATATAATATACCAATATGAACATCCTCACAAACAAGCTTACTGACATTTCGGTTACAGGCTGTCAAACATGATTTTTTCGAAAATTAATGTCAGTGGGTCGATTAAATATTATTGTGGATTCCATCGGTACAACACCTCAAGTGGTTTCAGAATAGACTCTGCCTCCATCGATATCTAGCTTCCAGCAAGATCTCCCGACATCTAAAACGTCACGAGAGGGCTTTTATGCAATGTTTTTGACTATGTCAACTCTCACGAAATGATGTCCTTTCATTGGAGTTTTCAGACGGCAGAACAAGTAGTTTTGGGAGACATGTCAGGACTGTAGGACGGCTGGGGAACGACTGGCATTTTCCATAGTCTAGGAAGCGTGTCACGACGAAGGCAGTGTGAGCGGCGCGTTGTCATAGTGAAGTTTCCAATTGTCCGCGATGTCCAACCACACACGACGAACCCTTCTTTTGGGTCTATTGAGCATATCCATGTGGGATTATCTCGTGGTGATGCTGAAAGACCCATAACATTGTCTAAGAAGCGTGGGTCACTTTCACACAATTTCCCAAGTGCTTGGCACCTTTCAACTCGGCGCGAGTTTCGGATGTCCGTCAACATTTTGGACACCAACATCGCGCACGCTTTTCTCATCTACAGGTTGCTCGTCACAATTTCGTAAACCGTACTTTTTGGAATATTTTATGTCTACCTTGTCGGAACCATTTACTTTCGCATGGGCAGTTTCTCTTCACCACTACTTAAGCAACTTAGACGAAAGAAAGAACGGGCAGATAAACCCAAAATGTCTACTCAGGTTAAACGAATAGCCTTGGCAACAAAATCAGGGATACTGCGATTGACACTATGGAGGCTTTTAAGGCAGACACGTGGCAAAAATTCCCTAAAGCGTCTTGATAATGTGTATATATAGACAGACTCGATGCCTAGCTTTGTACTTCCTCACAGGATATGTGTTCTCTGCAGTCACCCTTGATTGCCTGGATGTTTACAAGGAACTCAGAAATTTGAAGATAACTAAGGTAGTTAAGCCATATACATTATCTTGACTTACCCTCAACCGCTTTGTTCAACTGCTGTCTTATGACTGACACAATCCCCGACATTTGGGAACATGTATGGATAACGCCTGTGCCCAAGAAGCAGTCTCAAAGCTATTTTCCGATCGTATGTATATCGCTGATGTCGAAATTCTTCGAGAAACTACTCTTCTCTCGGATTTTCGAACGCGCCTAGGCAGATGATGTATATCAGTTTGCTTATAAGCCATACCGCTCCACACTGGATTCTATGTCGTATCTTTTACCTTCGATATCATCTGCATTAGATGATAAATGCAGAGCAGTGCGCTTGCTGTTCCTTGCTTATTCCAATGCTTTCGGAAGCGTCAAATGCTCACTCCTGCTCAACCAGGTGCTCACAAGTGGGGTTCATACTAATGTCTGCAGCGTGGGTACAGACTACTTTACAAATCGTACCAACTGTACCCAGTTTAGCGGAACAAAGTCCTCTACTCTTTGCTCCGATCGTGGTGTTTTACAAGGAGCAATTCTCCCTCATCTCTGTTTTCTTTCTTTGTATTGCATGCAAGTATGCAAATATTGTCGTTATGGAATGTATAGCTCCAAACCTTAAGACATCTACTCTTCAGAATGATCTAGATGAGTTTGCGCTGTGATCATCGTCCCAGCCTCATTTGTAACATTTCTAAATGCCGTGACGTAACATTCTCTCTTATCTTCGGGTCTATGCGCCGCAAACTGTTTCGAATGATACTTCTTCACCGACATTGAGTAATCAACTCCTCATACCCAGAACATCAATCGTCTTTTATCCCCAGACCTTTCTTGGTCTACCCATGTGGCCGAAAGGTTTCATAAAGTTTGAAGGTTATCTTTTTATGCCCTTAGACTTTAAAACGCTTTCGTTACCTCGTGATTTCATTCTTAAATTTGTGACTGCACCCATTCTATCTCACTAGCTTCACTGATCCCCGATAATTTTTTTCTGGGCTACTCAAAAAAGATTGCATATTGTTCTTACGTTATTTCTAGATGCAGTGGGCTGTCTAGAGAGGCTCTTGTTGATTTTATTACAAACAAACATCTCATCATCATCAACAGCAGTACATCAGCCATTTAAACTGATGCTTCGCTGCCATACAATCATGAGGACCTATGAAATAAAGAATAAGAAGAGGGAGAGAAGGGGGACTTACCTGAAAACCTTAATGCCCTAAGCAAACATTCAGGGTCAATGCGCCTACACCTTGTGTAGACAACATACCGTCACAAACAGCTGGCTATCATGCAAAGATAAGGCGGCATCGGCGAGACAGCTTCCTTGCGGCTTTCACTGCCACGCGTCATAATCAACCATTTACCCCCAGATTACTCAACACCAAACACACTTTAAACAGGCAATCCGATTAGGAGACTGCAGCAGACGCGCCACTGGTGTCTACTGCGAGCTATGTCCTGTAAAGTCTCGAGTCAAGCACAAGGCGTCACCTGACCTCCAGCCTGGAAGACGAGACGGACCAACGGCACCCAGTTTGGTCATCAGTGACTTCATTTCCTGCTATCAAGTCAACTTCTGTCCACCTCGAGCCTTTCGCCACCCTACACCTGGTAGACTGAACAAGGCCCTCCTAGGTAAGCCGTGAACAGGCATACGTAGCACGTGCCCGAGCCAACGCAACTTATTCAGTGCTGTCTGTTGCTCTAGGGAGCTAGCTGATTATCACTACCTAGTACTCGCCTACGCACATCATCGTTGCGAACACGCTGGTGCCATCCGACACCAGCAATGCTTCGTAGACAACGATGATCAAAGACTTGAAGGCGCCTCAGATCTTCAGACCGAAGGGGCCAAGTCCCACTACCACGGAGCAGAACAGCCCTCACTGTGGCCTTGTATACACGGCCTTTCAAACGGAGGGAAATTCCCTTCTGTCGCCATACGTGCCGCAGGTTCAAAAAGAACATCTAGACATATGTAGTTGCTTTTCTCTTCAAAGTTTTAAGCGATCCTCTATCGGAATCGCTGTTTGTTTCTTCCACACGCTCTAAATTTAGAGTCTTACTCTCTCGTACTACTTCTCCTACAATTCTATCCTACCTTGCTTGTCACGAATACTTACTGGCCCAACAAAACTCACCAGTATAGTGCGCAGTTTGCCGTCATCCATTAATTTAAGATATTTCT